CTTCATGAAGGGTCTAGGCCCGAAACGTCAGCCTTCCTGCTCCTATGATGCTGCTTGGCCTGCTGTGTTCATCCAACTCTACACCTTGTTATCTCAGATTCTCCAGCATCTGCAGTTCCTACTATCTCAGATAATCACTCCCACCACTTTCTATAAGCTGTTGCTTTTAACCAGTGACTGGGAAACTGAACAATGAATGTGTCAACTACCCCTCCTCATTCCCTCCAGGGTATTTTCAAAAAAAACTGAAGGATTTGGGTACAAAGATCAGTTATCAGAGGGACTTGAAAAAGACAAAAGAGGACACCTCATTGAATCCTACGAACTTGTGCTGGTGAACTATGTTTCCCAATATTTTGTTTTTCACCCACAATATCCATGTTTTGTTTGTTTTTCTGTGCCTATCTTGCATGTGTCTGTGTAGGGGTTTGAGAAGGGGTTATAAGTTCAACTAGTAGAGTTACATGTTTTTAATCCATATTTTTGTTTTTCCCGTGGTTAGAACTGATTTCTTGTAATAAGTAATATTTCTTGTTAAGTACAGAAACCTGGTCAGTGCATTCTGTTAACGTCAATCAGGCAGGTAACTTGGGGACTTTGAGTATTTTGACTAAATCTTTAACTTCTGTAACAACCCCAGGAGTAGTGGGGTTCAAATATCGGCACACTTTCCCACGTGGGACATGAAATTATCCAGCAATATGGTATTAAAAACAGAAATGCTGGAGAAAGTCAGGAGATCTGGAATTCCAAAAATGTATTTTGAGACTTGATTTGAAGCATTAACTCTGTTTCTCTCTCCACAGATGCTAAGTTTCTACAGCAATTTTTGTTTTTATTTCAGTTTTCTACAATCTGCAGTATTTTGCTTCAGTGACAACGTTGTGTCATGCAGTCCAGTTTTGCCCTGTCCACAAATAGCAGGCCCCTTATTTCTTCATCATGTAAATGTCAATCAGCAGCAAAATGATAGGTGTCACTGAGACTGTTATCAAATGACACTTATTAAGTGCTCACTGATGCTCAGTTTGGGTTCCACCATGGTCAGTCAACTCCTGACCTCATTACATGGACAAAACAGCTGAATTCCAGAGGTAAGGTGAAACTGCTCTTGACATATAGGCCACATCTGACTGAGTGTGTCAAAACTGAAGTAAATCGCAATCAGGGGGAAAGAAAGTCTCCACTGGTTGGCAATATCTGACAGAAAGAAGCATGGTTGTGGTTGGGAAGACAGTCAGCTCAGCTTCAGGACATCTCTGTAGGTGTTCCTTAGGGTAGTGTCCTAGGTCCAACCAGCTTCAGCTGCTTCATCAGTGACTTTCCCTCCATCATAAGATCAGAAGTAGGGATGTTCTGTACAATGTTTAGTATCATTGGCAACTCCTCAGATAATGAAGCAGCCTCTGTCCAAATGCAGCAAGATCTGGACAATATCCAGGTTTGGACTGACAAGAAGCAAGTAACATTTGTGCCCCACAAATGCTTGGAAATGACCATCTTGAACAAGAAAGAATCTAACCATCACCTCTTGACAATCAATGTAATCAGCATCACTGAATCTGCCATTGTCAACATCCCAGGAGTTACCAGAAACTGAACTGGACTAACTATTTTCTAATACTATGCATACAAGTACAGGTGTCCTGCAGTAATCCTGCAGTGAGTAATTTACCTGCCAACTGCTCAAAGCCTGTCCACCATCTACAATGCAGGAGAGTGATGAAATACCTTCCACTTGTCTGGGTGAATGCAGTTCCAACAATACTCAAAAAGACTTGACACCATCCATGATAAAGCAGCCTGCATCCACAAATATTGGCACCATGACATTCACTCCCTTCACGATCGATGCGCAATGGCAGGAGTGTGCACTAGCTACAAGATACTCTGCAGAAGTTCATCAAGACTCCTTAGCACCTTCCAAACCCAGGACCTCTTCCATCTTCCATAAGAATAGTGGCAGCAGACACATGGGAACACCAGTACCCACAAATTCCCCTCCAAGCCATTCACCATCCTGACTTGGAAATAAATCACTGTGCTTTACTGTTGCTGGGTCAAAATTCTGGAACTCCCTTCTTAATGGTTTTGTGAGCCTACTTACATTGAATGAACTGCAGCAGTTCAAGAAGATAGTTCACCATCACCTTCTCAAGGACAAGTAAGGATGGGCAATAAATGCTGGCCCACAAGCAATGATCAAATCCTGTGAATGAATTTTTTTAAAAAAAAGCTGCGCTCATATGTGAAACATGTTCACAAACCCACCCCTCCAAAAACTGACAATGACACATGCAGGGGCACTCCATCATGGCCAAAAAATCTGGGCCTGAAATATCATAAGTTGGATAACATTGTTGACACCTATGACCTTGGCTACTTCCTTCCACTGTGCCCACACAATATTTCTGAAAGCTCAAATACAGCATCTTTTTGTTTACGTGCAAACAACAATTCGGTCACAACCACAAAATGCTATTTACTCCTTGATCATGCCAAAGTACCAAGTTTTAATTCTAGAGAAGTAGATGACTCGGAATGCTGTGTGCACCTCTGATCTTCATACTACAAAAACAATTCGAAGCAATGGCATATGTTCAGAAAATATTTACTGGAGGTACTACCATAGTGGAGAGGATATAATTAATGGAAAAATTAGCAGATTTCTCTTGAAAGAGAGGAAAGCTGTTATAGGTTTTCAGGAGCATAAGATGATCAATAAGGTATTATGCACAAATTATTTATACTTTTGGGCGAGCACAAAGCAAGGAAACATAAATGTAAGATAATCTGTAACAGATCAAATAAAGCATTGAAGACTAATTTCTTTCCACAAAGTGTTTATAAATGTGAAATTTTCACATAGGGCGATGAGGCAGTTAGTGTTTTTGCATTTGATGTACTTGATGTAAGAAAGGGTAAGAAAAGATTAGGGCAGTTAGATAGACGTCATTGGAATGGGAGGAAGATCATTTGGACTATTAGCACTGGATACAAATCAGTTGTGCTAAATAACCTACTGCTATGCAGTTTATTTAATTCTATGGTAGGTTGAAAAAGTAAGTCAAGAAATTAGTTGAAAAAATTAGCCTTTGCAGGCATGCTGGATGGGAAGAACAGTGGCTGAGGAGGATAGGAAATTGGTATCGACACTAATAAGGAGGGAATGACTGCAGAGATGTGTATGATAATGTGACATGCACAGGTTAACTATAGGCTTAACTGTGGGCTTTCAAGGCAGGGCTGGCAACAGGAAGATAATAGAAACCCCATTATAATTCCAGTAGATGTTAAAAATGTTGATCTTAAATGCAAATCAATAAACCAAAATTCTTCTGAAGTTCATTTGAGCACTGCCTTTACATCCTCAAGAAAATAATGGAGATCCAATTATGCCATAGTTTGCTGGCTAAGTGGAATGGCATCACTCTGGGAATTTGTTTGCACTGTTTTATCCATGCTGTTGGAAGCTTCAGCAGCAACCAGCCATCTTGGGCAGGACGGAGAGAGCCAAACTTCACTAACTCCAAAAAGCCTGCTTTTATCCCCTTTAGCTTTCTGCATAAAGGGGCAAATGCTACATTTTAAAAAAGAACTTTAGGCGTTTTAGATTATTGGAATTAGGAGTGCCTACCCTCACCATTATCATTACCTCTAACACAGCAGGATTTCTAAGTGCCAAGTAAAGACCCCCTTACAAGACAAAGTCAAATTTCCAAAATGTGATCATATCTGGTGCCTCGAGGGCTCAACCTTTTTCTGCGCCATTTCAGAGTACGGCAGAAGTCTATCATTGTTTCTATTTCATATATTTGAGCATTAAGAACAAAAATGGCATACAATGCCTCTGACAGTTCAATGGATGGATGCAGTACAGTAATAAAACAGTAACATTTAGGTTCCAATCCTTTGCCTGCCTAACTTATTTGGTCTAATTTACAAAATTGAATATGGTAATTGAGCTATATATTCAGGGTCAGGTATGGGACAGTCAGTCATGCATTTTCCTTTCATATATTTAGAGGTCCCTGTTGGAATGTACATGTAGTAAAGATACTGGCTGAAAAGAGTATTGAGCTAAGCTGCAAATTTGGTGAGATGAACTAGTGACATACACAACTAGATTTTAATCCTCAGTTGGTTTTGGGCATTCAAAGGCTAATTTTGAGGCCTTTAGACTTATTTTGAGAACTTTAACTCTTGGATCTCTCCTTTTATGCTGCTCATCAGTTGCCCAATTCATTGGAAAGCAACAGGTGATTTATAGGGGGATGGGTCTGGGTGGGATGCTCTGAGAGTCGGTGTGGACTTGTTGGGCCGAAGGGCATGTTTCCACACTGTAGGGATTCTACGATTTTCTATGATGATAGGTGGTCTCAGTTAAAGTGGAAAATTGTTGCTCCTCAAAAGAAAATTCTTTTCTAAATTTATCTTAATGGCTTCTTTGTCTTCTGATAGCTATCAATCTGATTTTGTAGGAAAGTTACAGCTTGCTGATGTACGAATTAAAACACAGTCAGTTTTCTATTTATGTAATGGGATTCTCATTGCATTTCAACTGCCTAAGTTATCAACAGCAGGAAAAGAATTCAAAACAGTAGAAAGTGAAGCTTCAGTACTTTAATTGTTAATTTACATAATTCTCAACACAGAATAGCTGGAAGCAGGCCATTCAGCCCATCAAGTCCAACCAACCCTCAGAGCATCTACCCATCCCCTGCATTTCCCATAATCAACTTAGCCTGCACACAATGGACAATTTAGCACGGCCAATCCACCTAATCTGCACATTTTTGGACTGTGGGAGGAAACCAGAGTACCCAAAGGAAACCCATGCCCCCCCACAGACACAGGGAGAACATGCAAAATCCACACAGACAGTTGGCTGAGGACAGAATTGAACCTGGGTCGCTAGTGCTATGAGGCTGCAGTGCTAACCACTGAGCTACCACACCACCCTAAGTAGTGGAGGAGTTAAATTTCCTCCAAGAATAAAGAATTATCTCTTGGCTAGGTATTTGTACGTTAGCATGGATCATCATTTTGAGCAATATGTTTTTGACTTACTGTTACATGTGCACATTCAGTTAAATTTAGATCCTGCAGATTTCGACAGTCACCTGAAATATATAATAAAGAACTGTAAAGTATACTGTAAATATTTATTTTGTATGAGAAAAGTATATATATAAATGAGGTGAGGGTTTCCCAATAAACGAAATTTAATTAGTGGTGCTCAAAACCAATTCACTCTAAAGCTAAGCACCAAACTATTTAAAAAGAAATTATCATGGCTACAGAAATACTAGCAAGTCAATTAGTAACTTCAGATGTACAGAAAACATACCTTTTAATCATTCAAAAGCCAGAAGTCCGAAATTACAATAAATAATATTTTAAAATACATAAAACCCACAGTTTACATCATAGGTCACAGCAGGAAAAAGGTTAGGAAGAACGATATAAGCAGATCTGCTTTGGTGTGTGTGTGATAAGATGGAGAATATAGTTATTTTACACTTTATTCCTATGTAATTAATTCTATCATGCCTACCATAGTCTAAGTCCAATGGCTGAACAATTAAAATCTATTTGTGCATTGTGGGAATTTGTACCTATAAGAAGCAAAAGAAAATTCAATAGATAAACCTATTATATTAATGTGAAATGTATAATTAATTGAAGCTTTTGCTTCAAACTTTGTACTTTAGAAATTATAAAACAATTTTTTTCCAAAATGCATTTCAATTGCCTCAATTGGCATATTAAAAATTCAATCAATAGAAACATGTTACTGCCTATATTTCCGTTTTGTTTAGATATGGTTTCTCATTAAAGTTTCCATCAAAGGGCAAATTTGAATATTCAATTCCTCATAAACAAAGATTGTGTTCAATGAATGGACATTCAGATGGCTAGCCATTTAACCCTATAATTGTTGCCATTGACTTTTTGTAATGTTTTGGGGATGGATTGTTGAACTTGATGTGGGCATCATAAAGGCATAGGGCAGAATTTTCTCAGGCCCTAAACAAATGTGGATAATGGTGGGTCAGTTAGGAAAATATGGCAAGAATGGGACAATGAGATTCTCAACTAGTCATTGAAACCTTAATGAAAATCTGTCCTTTTTTCCTCAATGTTGAGAATCTTACAAGTAAGCAGCAAGTGGGCTAATTAAATGCCTTAACGTTGTACAATTACCTAATCTCACCTCACTTATACGTTGGTTGCTATTCTCCCAGATATCAGAAAGAAACTAGACGGCACCAACTCCGACATGAAAGTTGAAGCGGTACTTGGCAGCTGCAACTTGTCAATGTCTTCCTTAGGCATTCATCTTGGCCAGCATTCCCCAACATCTCAGAGTATGCTCCATGGACTGTGGCCATCTGCACCCTCCAAACATGGAGGTTAGCATCCACAAAACATCAGTCTCATCATGTCATCATGGCACATTTCCATCTCGCTTATAGTACAGTCGTCCACTAGTACTGCACTTTGGAGTTCTCCAACACCTTACAATGCAAAGCTGCTGCCAGGTTGATCTGCTGTGGGGTGGGCCACTGCTAGTCCTGCAGGGGATTAATGTTAAATCAATTGGGGAACTGCATAACTATTAATCAGAATATGGTCAGTCTTCAGTTGGTGCTGTCAAGTCAATCAGAGAGTTAGACCACAGTCAGTCTTGGATGTCTGTTCAGTGGAAGTCAATACAGGTTAACATGGGCCACTTCTGGGGTGGAGAATTTGGGGATGTCAATTGTGGAATTTAGAGGCAGCATGCTGGACTATAGACAGGTCAATAATTATGGACTTAACATGTAAGGGTAAGAAACAGTAGAGCATGGCAGAATAGTGTACTGCGAGAACAGAGGGCATTGATGGTCACCGCCAGCCTCTACCCACATGGAGGCCTCCATGTAGCAATATATAGAGAATGATGGTTAAATATCATTTTTCTCTGTTGCGTCTGCTAACTGACCATATTATTGAGAAGCCTGCTTCGTATCTAATATTCCCCACCCAGGCCATTGGAACCATTAACAATAGATCCAGGCACAGCACCTGTTCTCATTTCTTCAGCCACCGAACTCTGAGAGGCCACAGAAATTAATGAGGAACCTATGAATATGGAAGCTCAGGACCAGAAGCAACCTCTAGCCTCCTAAAATGTCCAGTAAGATGTCCCCTCATGATGTGTAAAAAATGCAGAAAGCCCACAGTCTTTCACCTTCGATAGAACATTCCTCAGATGAGCGAGACATAGGGGTGTTGACAGATGTGGATGTTCCACGACACTGGGACAAAAATGTCAACCATTGGAGCATTTCAGGCATTATAGTCTGCAGACAGGTAGTGGTCAGCATTTCATACCATGAGATCCAGTGTATATACAATGCAACACTTGCTTCCACTACGGCTATTGAGGGCCATATGGTGTCTCAAGGTGAGGTTTCCATGCTTGCACAGATCTAGGGGTTCAGTGCAGTACTGTACAGACAGAGGGCACATATTAATCCTTCCAGGCTGTGCTCTGGATAGCTGGAGCATGCAATGAGGGCAGGTTCTTGATGATAAGGATCTAAGAATCACAGTTGAGTTGAAAAATTAGGACATTTAACAGAAGGTATGTCACCTTCATCAACCTACAGCACAGAAGCACTGGATGCAGTAACTTAAATGGGGCTTCTTTGGCAACAGCTTTCAATGAAACTGAGTTTGGTGAAGTCATTGTTCATTTACTGTAAATGTGTTGATACTAGATAGGTAAGTATCCCTGTTTAATCTCAAATGCAAATGCAGATTATCCTGTTGTTTAATTAAAGTCAACATTACAAACTGATGGAAGCATTCTAATGTTTCCTCATTCAATCATGATAAAATTTAGTTCTAATATAGGCACTATGGAAAGAATAGCCATCCTTCAGACAGGGTTATAACATTGTGTGAAACTAAGGATGGCTACCTTCACTACCTTAACTCTTGTAGCTGCAGCTAAAACAACAGTCAATCATAAAGGTGATGATGTACAGTGAATTTGTATTTCCAAATGCAATGTTGTATTGCATAATGTTTCCTTTTCCTTTCTCCTCTCACTACATCTAGATGTACTCCTTGGGTAGGTAGTTGGGGTGGAGGAACCCTACCTTGTATTGGAGCCTGTTGGTCCTGGGTGTTTTGGACGGACATCCCTTAGGTCATCTGTGGCAGGAGCATCCAGGTATGCTGAGTGTCCTGGCCAGATGAAGGCTCACCTTCTCAGCTTGAACTTGCATAGGGTTGAAAATCATGGAGGAGTGGAGGGTCTATGCACCTCCGGAGTGTCCTGAGAGGCGACCTAGTGGGGCCTGAATGTAGTTCTTCCTCTGACCAGGTGCCTATTGGCATCACCCTGTCTCCTTGTGAAGAAGGGGCACCTGGAGTGAAGTCCAATTCCCTTGTCACCTTGCCGTCGGTTTTGAGCACTAATAGCTAGCGCAATGCAGCGTGTATCTGTGTGCATCTATGGCAATTAGTGAACGTTCTTCAGGATCAGGTTTTCTAAAGCAGCCGCCAATCTGTCCATGGACACGGACAGATGCACATTCATTGGAATAGCACAGTACAGCTAGTGTTGGAGGACTCATCCAACCTGCGATCCAGTTTATAGAATGTCTCCACAAACTTGTGTCAGCTTGTGCATTTTGGTGAAGTTATTAATGACCAACACCATGGAGTCCTTTACTGCCTCAGGTTGAGCATGTGCCTAGTTTCCAGCTGTACTCTGAGTACCAGTGACCTATGGCATTTCTTCCTCAGGCAGCTATGGACACATGCCAGTGACATGCTTACTAGCTACAGTACCCACTTTCCACCCCGGCCAGCAAGAAAGCTCACTGGATTAAGCTTCGATCAGCTATTTAAGAATTGACTGGCAAGCTTTTCAGTGAATCACAAGCCTGGATACTGAAGTCTTATTGGCAGCTTCTGGGTCCCAGAGATTGTTACTGTAGGCCTAAGCTTTAGAGTTTTAAACAATGAGAAGGCAACTGCTTTTCTTTCCTGTTCTGAGGAAGGGTCACCAGAACTGAAACGTTAACTCTGTTTTTTCCTTCACAGATGCTGCCAGACCTGCTGAGCTTTTCCAGCAACCTTGTTTTTGTTGCTTTTTTTTTCAGGTTTTGTGGGGTGATATTTATGCAGAGAGGGGGAACAAAGGGGCTGGAGGCAAGGACAGGGGGTGATCATCAGTGGCTATCTCCTTACCCCATACTTCCGATCCCAAATAGCTACAGACTGGGGGAAATGGAGGTACCCTGAATAGTGTCATCCTATGGGGACGTGATGGCCTAGTGGTTTCAGATGATGACCTCAGATGATGAGCGGCATAGATAGAGTGGATACCCAGAGACATTTTCCCATGGCAGAAATGAGTATTATGAGGGGGCATAATTTTAAAGTGATTGGAGGAAGGTATTTTGGAGATATCAGAGATAGGTTCTTTACACAGAGAGTGGTGTGTGCATGGAATGTGCTGCGAGAGGTCGTAGTGGAGTCAGATACATTAGGGACATTTAAGCGACTCTTGGATAGGCACATGGATGACAGTAAAATGCAGGGTAGCAAGGTAGTTTTATCTTAGAGTAGGATAATAGGTCGGTACAACATCATGGGCCGAAGGGCCTGTACTGTGCTGTACTGTTCTGTGTTCTATGTTTTATCGCTGAACTGTTAATCCAGAGACCCAGATACCATTCTGGGGACCAGGTTCGAATCCCGTCACAGCAGATGGTGGAGTTTGAATTCAATAAAATATCTGGAATTAAGAATCTAATGATGACCATGAATCCATTGTCGACTGTCCAAAAAACCCATCTGGTTCACTGATGTCCTTTAGGGAAGGAAACTGCCATCTTACCTGGTCTGGCCTACATGTGATTCCAGACCCGCAGCAATGTGGTTGACTGTCACCTGCCCTCTGGGCAATTAGGGATGGGGAATAAATGCTGCCTAGTTATCCTGTTAATGAATAAAGAAAAAAATGTCCTCTTGAGCATTATTGTAACTAAACTCATCCAAGCATGTGGTGAGTATTTCATCACACTCCTGACTTATAACTTGTAGATGGACACACATTTTG